TATATATATATATATATATTTACATGATTATATTCACATGATTTAAATTTTTGAATAAAAATAAATTTATTAAATTAATAATTTGAAGAATTTCAAAATTAAAATTTTTTAGAATATTATTATAGATGTAAAAATAAAATATGTATTTTATTTTCAAATAATTTTATACAGCGTTTTCAATCGCTAATAATATACTTACGTTTGAATAATTAGTTATTATATTGAATTTTTTTTCATTGATTATTATTTTTTATTGATATTTAAGTAAATATCAATTATGTAGCTGATGTTCGTAATAATGATTTTAAAGTTATTATATAGTATAATAAAAATTATATAGTTCACTTAATAGCATTATTTGGTATTTAAAAAGTATTTGGTCTTGGAAAAATACTGATCGTTTAAATATTTTATCTTCTTGTTATAATATATGAATGAATTATTAACAGATGATAAAATTTTAAACAACTGTTATTTACATACAGCTTCTACTAATAAACTACTTTTCACCTATTAATTAGCGTTTTCTTTTATAAGGAAATAAAAACTGTCCAATAAACTATTGTTTATTGGCGATATAATTAGTGAAAACCGACAGTATATATTATCTATTTAAAAACTATTTTAATTTATCATCAAATTAGATAGGGGAAGTAAAATAGCATAATTATTAAATTTATTATTATATTTAGTAAAGAGTCATTAATATGTTCATTAAAAATGCGTATTTCTATTTTCATCGAAAGTTCTTAAATAAAGGCAAAGGAATAATTCGAAAGTCCAACGCACTCTAGCTGCAACGAGAGGTATTAAAATTACGTATAATCTTGGTGTACATATGCTGTCTGTCTGTAATAAAGCCTGCCCGAGACAATCCAAGAGCGGCACGTCGTGACGCGGCCCTGATCCGGTCAAGCCTGGTGCCGGTGGCGGGAAAATCCTTTCTTGGACTTGTCGATCAACACGAGATCGTGACTATGACGAAAAGCTTTCCACGAAAACATCGCCCATTACCCGTAGGTCGATGTTGCAATCCTATAACTTTACTTTCTCTTTTTATTTTTCTCATTCTATATTTCTCCTTCTTTCTTTCTTTATTTATTTTACTTACACCTAATCGTGCATTTTTACACACATATATTGTCTCTTTCTCTCTCTGTCTCTCTCTCTCTCTCTCTCTCTGCTCGTTTAGCCGCCTGTAACTGTGTGCACGATTGTTGGCGCGATGCTATCGTTTCTTAGAGCCACGGTCTGACAAGTGTATACGTTCGCTCGTTAGTTTTCCACCCCTACGCCCATCTTAACCCTTGTATACACGTTCTCTCTCTCTCTCTCTCTCTCTCTCTCTCTCTCTCTCTCTCCTTATCTCTTTCTATCTCAATTTCTCTCTTCCAGTCACTCTCTCATTCTCATTCTGTCTGTCTGTCTGTCTGTCTCTCTCTCTCTCTCTCTCTCTCTCTCTCTCCCTTTCACCCCCTTTTTCTTTATTTATGTACAAGTCCAAAAAACCACGAAGACTGATAAGGAAGCGAGCGACGAAGGACATTACGGGAAATAGCGATTCTGCTTATACAAGTAGAGATGTTGTTGCTGTTATGCGCTCGCAGTTTACCGGAGGGATTAGACTTATAGCAATCAGGCGGAAGAACTCGAAAGATAGAGCTAAGCCTTTATCGGAAAATATGAGACGCCGTTGTCCTGTTTTTTTTTCTTTTTTGTCATTTTCGTTGTGAGAGTTTTCAAGGATTAATCATTAAATGCTACTATTAAAGCTGTATACCATTCTTTTCTGAAAAGCAAATTATTATTTAGCATGAATTAATTTTTTTATATAACTGTATTATAAACGAAATGTTTATAACTTGGTGATTAGGAGCCAAATATTAAAAATACATATAAAATTATCTTTACCAGTTATAATTCAATTTACCTAATTCCTGTTCACAATAAATTTTTATAATTTTTATAATAAAAATTAGTAAAATGATTTACAGTTAAGGAAAAATTTAGTCACATTTGATTATTAAAAAGCAATTACATTTTTAGTTACATTCCTGATATGTATAATATCTTGGAAATATCATTTTAAGTGTAAATTTAATGTATACATTTTGTTTGCTTTTCTATAAAATTTGTCTGTCTGTTGCCAATGATACTCGTATGTCTATTATACAAGAAATGTAACATGGAACAACATAAATACTATAATAAAATACCAAATGAAAGTAATATTGGATGAAAAAAAATTTACACAGGGATTGGAAACGGACAGATAAACAGTCGTGTCCCCTTACATCTCCTTTTCATTCGCATTCAATGCGACGCGTGCGTATACCCTTTTTTCGTTGTATTGGTAAGTCATATAGATGTCTTGCTCTCTGTTTATCTGTCTGCCCACTCATTATATCCTTGTTATAAATACTATAACTGTTTGCCCAACCTATTGTTGTTTATACTATGACTAAATTATGTGTATGAATGCATGTATATATATATATATATATATATATACATATATATATATATATATATATATATATACATATATATATATATATATATATATATATACATATATATATATATATTGCTATTAAAAATATTTTATCATTGTAACTTGAATCAAGCATCATTGTATCCTTTACTGATGTACGAAAATATATTAAAGAAATCTATATGTTTATTTTATTAATTATTGAAATAATAATATGAAATTAGAGCTTGTTTAAAGACTGCCATCAAAATTAATATAAATTGAATCTAATTTTTGCTAATTCTCAACAATATTTAAGTATTCCTGATTGTTATTTATATAATGATAGTTTGATGCTTGGCCCATAGTTCTACAGAATCACTGTTGCACATTATTGATATTATCTATATTTCACTGACTGTTTACATAATCAATGCTCTGGGTATGTCGTATGCTGGATAGTTTATTTCTCTCACTCTCTCACTCTCTCTCTCTCTCTCTCTCTCTCTCTCTCTCTCTCTCTCTCTCTCTGTATATATATATATATATACATATTTAACTTACGTAATTAATATATTTCTATTTTTCTCTATATATCATATGATATAACCCATCATTTTATATTTATTCTACTCCGTCCGATACCACCTCTTCTATATACATGTATATGTGTATGTTATGTATATATATATATATATATATATATATAATTAATTACATTATTATTACGATGTTAGTATTGGTGTTTAACTAAATATATATATACGTACAATCAATATATATATATATATATATATATATATATATATATATTTATATTTATATATAACTGTTAATGTTGATGTTTGATGTTACATTGGTGTTTGATGTGAATTTGTTTATTCGTTGTAATCTTGCTGTTTGATGTTTGTCGTTGCACTATATTAACGCAGTTTGTCGCGGCCCAAAATCCGAGCTCGCGATTAGTTCAGAGTTTCTTCTCCAATATCCTTCGCGATTAACCAATTTAATGTTTTTGATGTTAATTTCGTATATTTATGAATAAAAAGTATTCATAAAAATTCTTAATTAAAAGAGCTTGGAGTTTGTTTGCCCAAACATCCTGCATATCCCATCTTCATATGTATATATTTCCAAAAGATGAAACATGTACATTAAGTACGCGTTTCCGTCGTCCGCTTATATTCATTACGTTCCTCATGTAAGGAATAAAAAAAGTCGAGAGGAGCAAAAGCTAAAGTAATATCTTGCTCGCGGTATGCATTTTGCGAAGCGCGTATAAAAACAGCGTACGCGCGGACACACGTACATTTGTATTCTTTTTTCCAGCCAACAAAACTCATGCTTTGAGTAGCCATATACATATATATTATATGTATTATGCATTACATATAAGCGTAAATATCATGCCCATGTATTTACTTGCCGTAACTCTTGTTGCTCATACCACTGAAACCACCCCCTAAAAACGATAACGCGGTCCTCTTGTAGTCTTTCTTTTTTATTATTACTGTTTCTTCCATTCGCCGCAAATTTTCGGCTATGCCTTCCGCGTACTTCACATTTTCGAATCTGTTTCATAATGCTTGATTTTTTCTCAATTTGATTAAATTAATTGAATTATTTAACCGCTAATATAGAAAAGGTGATTTAACAAGCTTTATATGTCATTAAATTACGATTATCTATACAAGGTCTAACTTATAATATTTGGTGGTATATATTCTAAATTATAATATTTGGTGTTTTGAAAAACTAATGATAAAGAGCTTAATTCCATAATACCTTTATAATTATATAAATTTTTCATTCGGATAATTAGTTAATTTGTTGACTATAAGTGATTAGAAAATTTGTCGATTATTAATTTAGACAAATAGACAAGCTTCTGATAAATGTATAAGTTAAGAATTGAAATTTATATGATTCATTGAATATCTATTTGAATAATGTTGCAATAAAAGAGCATTAACCGAGCTGAATAAATAATATGTTCAATGTGTGTATGTAATTATCTATAATTTGGTTATACGGCCAATCATTGATTATCCTATTCAATCGATTACGTAGCACATAAAGCTTCGAGCAACATCATAGGATGTAACACAGTGCATAGCGACATAACCTCAACGGCAAGCGATAAATTTAAGACTTTAATACAAGAGACACAGCGCGCAATTACTGTTGCGTACCATATATATATATATATATATATATATATATATATATATATATATATATATATATATATATATATATATATATATGTATATATATATGTATGTGTGTACGTATGCGCGTATGTGCGTATGTGTGTATGTATATATATAAATATATTCGCGTTCAGTTGAAGCTTGGGGACACATCCTTAGCATTGAGCGCACGCTTACTTATACATAACGAGGGGGTGGTTTTGACGGGGCGGTAGCGAAACAATTTTTACATACGAAGGTGCACACGCACGGTCACGACCAGCAACCTAAGAAATTCCTGGGATTGGCTAATATGAAACGGAAATGTGTTTCAGGTTTACACTCGCCGCATGAAGGTTTGGCCGGGGGATCTGGCCAAAGTATGTCCAGTCTTGCCTATTATCAGCCAGAGCATTCGGGCTCAGCTGGTGTCGTCAAGTACCCGGAGAACGGCCACGACACGCTCTCGGACTTCGTGACGTTCGTTTGTCAGGAAGCCGAGAATACTCAGCAATTACCCCAGGTAGCTTCTGCTTCTCATGAGTATAAATGCCAATCGTTGATATCATTGTTTCTTGGAGTTGTTGGTTTCGTTTGCTCGTATAGATGCAATTGGAGCTAATGGTAGTATTGAATTAGTTTTTATTTTTGGCAGTCTTGACATTATTCTATATCATTCATTTTTCATTTAATGCAAAGAAAGTGCTTTATGGTCAGAAATTTGTCAATGAAATTATTAATATATCAAAAACCTTATTCATTCTTGATAGCTCAGTTTCCTAAACTATTACATACAATTGCATAGATATTAAAAGCCTTATACAAGATATTAAGAGTCTTATACGATTTAAGTAGATGAATTTAAGTAAAAATTTAATATAAGTATAAGCCAAAGCATTAGTTAAATACTATATAGCAATAATTATAAATTACAATGTCAGGAGATGCTTAGATTTCATGGCATTGAATAAAATAGTTTGGAAACCAAAAGCTCTTACACGATTGGTGGAATCAACGGCAATACCATAATAATTGATTTTGATTATTATTATTGGCCATTCGCCCTGGATCGATTACCAGCACAATTTTCTGTTCGCGTTCCCGTCGTTTTATTAGCTATAAAAATTCAATCATTCGATTCGATTTCACTGAAATTCAAGGTGATGAAATGAGCCTTTTTTATAAACGACGTGATCAATCTGGGGCGAATGGATGGGCACTCGGCTTGATGGTTGATCGGTGGCGTGCAATTTCCAGACGCAACTCGCGGGACCGCGGTCTGGTATGCAAAAGTTCTCACAGTATTATCCGAGCTCGATGTTACCACCGCCGCCGCCTGCGCCAATGGCCAGGCCGGTCGCGATCATCAGGTCGACGGGCGAACTTACGGCGAGTAGCGCAAACTCTCCGCCCAACTCGGCCTCCTCGCCTACCGATCCTTCGGACCTAGCTTCGAACCCCCAGGACCAGATGTCCGCCGCAGCGGCAGCAGGACTCGTTGGCTCGGCCTGTCAGACGTCCGTCGATCCTGGCGGTCGTAAGAGCCCCGCGAGGATTCTCGTTACGGCGCCTCACACGAGTCGGGAGTACACCTTCGCTCATTTTCATTCGCAGCCAGGGCAGGTAAGATTACTAAATGATTATTTAAACGTGGACGGGGATGACGCTGAGCCTGTGCGTGCAACTCGTCGCGTTGAGATGAACAGTAAGAGTACTAAGAATTGTTATCCAGTCGTGAGGGATGTCCTACCTTTTTTGAACGAGGCAATAAAGCTGAAAGTATTTGAAAACACATAAATCTTAAAACACCAGTTTACGGTCTATGTTTTTATGATATATGTCGCTTTTACCGTACTACATATAAATTGTCGAATAAAACCATGAATTTCATGTCATTTCGACTGACTGAATTATAAGATTTTTAAATAAAATTAATCAATCTATTGTTCAACTATTGATGAACTATTGATGAAAGAATGATTAACCTTAAATTAATTCCTTTTTGTTGAAAAAATTCCTTTACAAATTCATACACGATCTTTGATTCTACTAATAATTCTATTAAATCTTAATTAAATCATAAGCATTGAAAAAAAATAAACTATTAGAAATTTATTTTAATTACTTCTTAAATTGTTCTATTAAATTTCAATATAAATGTTATAATTAAGAAAGTAAAACTTAATTAAAAACCAGACTTGGCGATAGCGCCTTTTTCTCATTTAGTTGAAATTTGAGATAAAATCATATTAGCATGCTATATGCGGACAGTATAATAAATATGGAGTCATTATAAAATAAAATACTTACCTCGATAATGTAATACATTTCAATAGTCTGTATTACATAAAGAATTGGCTATGGGAATTTTCGTAATTATTTACCAAGTATTATAATATCTACATAAAACTAGCCGCATAAAATATAATGATTACACGTTAAATGACGTACTAATATAAAGTGAATATTTCATTCGAAAAAGTTGCGTTATTATTTGAAATGAAACTGTTTAAAAGCAAAGTACCATGTTGGAAAGTGTAAAATTCCGTAGCTATTTTAGCGCCGCTTCTGGCTCCAGCGATAGGGAAATGTTCGCTCTCAACATCGTGTACAAAACTTTAAATAGGAGTTTCAAAGTATTTACCGTAATGTGCTTTGGTAAGCTAAAATGTAGTTAAAGTAGCTTAAACGATAATTGATATGTCCTATACCGAATCTTTGTCTCATTAAATTGCAAGAGAACTTTTGTATAAATCTGTACATGTACATTTAATTTGCAATTCGTTTTAAGTTCATTTGATAAATAAAAGCTTATTTTCGTGTAAATTCTATAACAAAATTAATCACATTGATTATCATGAACAATTTTGCTCACGAGTGTATACAAAAGCCGATTTCTTCTTCTTATTATTCTTCTTAGCAAATTTTCACCTACCCCACGATCGGCTCAATGTCGGGCGTAATTTCCCCGACGAACCTATCGCTTTTCTCGTCGCCGGTCCCGGTGACAAGGCCAGTGGCGACCCAGAGGTCCGTATCCAACATACCGCCACGCTGGAACACAGCGCCGTTCATAAACCTCGAGGATGATTACAATATGATAGCGCCGATTATCGCAGGAACAGCCACCGAGCCACCCACTGCAATGGAAGAAGGTATAAAACAACCCGATTCTCATGAATTATTCATTGAGGGGGTTGCGAGATTAGTTTGCGCTCTAACGTCATTTTACACGAAATTGGATTTCACCCTCAAATCTAAAAATATGCGCGATCCCGGCACTATACATAGCGTACGTAAGCGCGTTCGGGTCATAAATATCGAGGATAAAAATTTTTTCATACAACTTGAGTAATAGAGAAGTTAAAGGACACTTTTATAGTGAGTTGTCTTCGGCGCTTCATTGTAGTCTAAGAGTAAAATATAAATGATGCTCGGGTTGAGAAAAGACAAATATTCTTGTCATCATTTTAGGGGGTTACTTACCTAACCATTTTCAATCGGGGTACTTCGTTAAAATTTTGTACATTAGAGACATTTAAAATAACCTTTGTATATAAAATTATTTTTCAATTATAATGATGCATTTTTCTTATATTGCAGATTTTTCGTGATTTCAATGTCAAATTAAATTTTCAATGGTGGTGTGAAAATTTTTTCAATTATCATTTTATACATACATACGTATATATATATATATATATATATATATATTGTGTATTATTATTTAATAATCTACCTGTAAAATGTTAAGAAATTTGATTTTAATCAATAATTTAAATTTTGCCTTTGAAATTTATGAAAGTGATTAGTAATTACGAATATGTTCGTTTTATTTTTGTACAATCATACAAAATTTATGTGCAAAACATCTAAACCTTTTTCAAAGGATATTTTATAATTTACATATTACAGAACGATACTTCCATCCCGTCCATACGAGCAGCGTCGTTGACAAAAATGGTAATGGCGGACTAATGGGTGCAGACATTGGTGTTGGTACCGATCCTACAACGCATCATCATCAGCAACAGCAGCAGCAGCAGCAACAGCAACAGCAACAGCAACAGCAACAGCAGCAGCAGCAACAGCAACAGCAACAACAACAACAGCAGCAGCAGCAGCAACAGCAAGTGATGCAGGAAAAACTCGGCAGGCCAAAGTCTCCCCCGTGACACTGGAGGACCGTTAATTACGTACGACCGTGTGATGTTCCGGATATGGCGCCCAACAGCTCCACGAAGGAATTATCCAGCACATCGCGCCGCTGTTGTTTGGCCCGATAGACCATCTAATGGCAATTATCAGTTTACGATTACATACTCTCGTACACACAGTCAAGCTATGCTTCCAGTACGCCGTTCGTGCAACGATTGAATGCGATGTTATTAGGTTAGAATAAAACCCTCTGGCCTCAGCCCTCGTAAATCGCTTTGCCAACTTTAAATTGTATTTGGTTTTCGTTTTCTTTTGATTCTTGATGGAAATTTCTTGAGTAATCGTGGGTGGGTCCTCTTATTACGAGATTGTCTACGTATTACAACTTTTTAGGGATTTCGTAGACATTTACAAATGATATTTCGTACTCTTGTGCCAAAAACATGGGAAAAAAAACACTAATATCTTTTCTATTTCTTACGAGCGTATACTTTAATGATATTTATAATGATAATAATTTTCGGATAATGACTTGTCACTTTTGTCATGTTGTACATGAAGTCTAATCGAAAATTTTCAACCAAACTGTTTGTACTCCATAAATTTCCACTCGACGAGTTTATAAGCTATAAACGAAGTTCACAATTACGGTTTTCATAAAAAATGTTAACAGTGCTACAGAGTCTTCCAACTCCTTGCATACACATTACTTTATTATTTGCGATTCTAATATAGCACAGTAGCTTGTATACCTTATCTTTTCATACATACTCATACTGACCTGCACTTTGGTACTTCAACTCTCGAACATAGTGTATGTGAATAATACAGCCATTTGACATGATTGATAAGCGACTCAATGTTTGAATAGGTAATAAGTGATTTAACAGTCAATATAATTAATAATAACCTTTATCATATAATAAATACATTTCATTATTTGAGAACTGTTGTGTCGTGTTAAATCTGTAATAATTAACGTTCAACTTTTCGTTTCTTGATTTTCTTTATTGTTAAAGTATAGATAAGTCTTCATGTTTTGATTACTTTACTTGAGTTCGTGTATTAATGTATCATATATTAATTTAGTAAATCTAATCTTTTAATGTGTGTTAAATATGTGCTTAAATAATGTCCTTAATTTATTCAACATAATGAATAAATTGTAAAAATAAATAAATGTAAAATGTTAAATAAACTTTCAGACTAAGTTTTGTAATAATCACAAAATCAGTTAATAATATTAATGAAGAAGTAGCCGTTTAATCACTTATTAACTGTTCGATTACGTATTAAATAGATTTTACGATTATCCCTCTAATTTCCAAGCATTTCGTTAATATGTAAAATTCAATTAAAAACTAAAAGCAGTATCGGGCTGTCCACATAAACAAAATATATAAGAATTTTTCTCAAAAGTCAATATATATATATATATATAAAAAAAAAAAAAAATGTAAAGTTTATCGAGAAGCCTAGTATTGTGTACAGTCACGTGTGAGATGAATGTCAGTATTGCCCAATTGAGATAGAGCTTTTCATTTTTTTATCCAAATAAGCAAATATATTTTGTAAGACACGTAATGATGAATAAAAATCAAATAATGATAGCAAATTTTTAAAAAAAATGAATGCGTTAAAAATAAAGCAATATACGCATGTATTGTGTTGAGAAAATGATTTGTATAGCTGTAAAATAATAATGTTTTGTTATTTTAATGGGGCAGAGGAATTTCAGGGGGTATAGAATATTGAAAATTAATTTTGACGACAATGCCACTGAAACTCGTTAATACATTTTATTGTGATTAATTTTCAAAACATTCAAATTCCTTCGTTTTTTTAATTTTAAATCTCATTCTTTAATAAATACAATTAGTAATGATTCATTTATACATTTCAAATTATTTTTTGAAATATATAGTCTTACGTTTATGCATAACAGTAAATATAATTTTTTATTATGTAATTTATTCTATTGACAAACGTAAATGTCCATTAAACAATAATGAATATTGTTTTCAAAGTATGTATGAGATTTTTCAGTGGCTGTAAATTAATTAACGGCAGGTGCAACATAATCGGTCATATACCTAACGCTCAGGCTAGTGCTAACACTAGTTTTCACTAGTGAAAACTAGTCAACAGAGGCTGCTAGTTAGAAAACAATAATATTAAAAACAAGTAAAGCAAATAACAAGTAGCTACTTCAAAAAAGAAAGGTTATTCAGGTGTAACTTTATAACTATTAATAAGCAATTGATAGCGATTGTACGAATTAAGAGAAGATAATGAAAGTCGTGTTGACGCAACGTTAAAATAGGACACATAATTTGCTATTATGAGCAATAAAATATACGCGTCATTAACACTTAAGACTTTATATAAACGTCTTGCGATTTAATTTTGAAAAAAAAGAGAAAAATTTAAAAAAACGTAACATAGAGAACTACCTATCCTAAATGCTTCCAACGGCTGTTAAAAGAGATACCGCGTGATGTGATGAAACCGTACGTAAGACGATATAAATGAAGATAAAAGTGTACTAAGCGAAGAAGAAAATTACCCGCCCAAAAGAAAAAAAGTATATGTATACACACACGGGCGCGCGGACACACGCACGCGCGTGCGCACGTACGTACACGCATCCGCATACACGGCCAAGCAAGCAAACACGCGCACGCACGCAAATACAATTGTATACACGCATGTATATGCGTATGTGTGTGCGCGTGTGTGCGCGTGCGCGTGTATGTGAACGCGCATGCGTGTGTAAGGATGTGTACATCGCGCGTGCGCGCGTGTATGCGTGTTTTGCCGAATGTATGTGTATTTAAACAAACTTAATATACATTTCTTATATAGAACAGAAGAAAATAATGTTGTCCCCTTAACAGGCACAGGGATAATATTTCTCCTTTGCCGCGATATACTGCTTTTATATAAGCGTTTAAATAACTGAAAATAATTAATTGAATTTGCGATTTATAGTAGGATTTAAGGGTTGAGAAAGGTTACACAAATAATTTTCCTGTACCCACTATCATCGTTAAGAGTCATGTTATTTACTAGTGGCATTCGAACATCGTTAATTTATATTCTGTAGGAAATGAGTTTTATAAATAGTACATACGTTGTTTATTATTAGATGATATTACTTTAATTATATTATTACTTCGATTATTTTTATTTACTAGGTAATGATTACTATTAAACGTTTAATCGCATTAGTTATTGTCACTATGCGTATTGTATTATATTACGATTTAACTTGGACTTCGTTAGCTTGGTTTGTTCAATTAACGGAGAGACAATTTAAAAATATTGTTGACCGACAAAAATATTGATCGTTTAATAGATTGTTAAATTTAACTTATTTTTCTATTCCTATTTTTTCCTCGTACATTATTACCGAAGACGCGACATCTGCACTACGGTAAGATTTATATTCATTTTCATCTTATTAACACATTAATATTTGAACTTATTTGAACTTTTTTGCAGTCTTGTAAAATACTAATATTATTAGGGTATTGCAAATAATAATGAAAATTTGTTCCTATACTTTTGTGATTATATAATGTACAATAGTAAATTGTGCAATACTTGTATTATCGATTAGCATTATCTTTTTAACTTTTTTCATTTATTTTTTAACTGATTTATGCCATATAACTTACTAACTTTACGATAGGAGCAGCAGCGATAACTTTTATTCCGATAGTCATAAGTTTCTTAAGTACCACGGTGCTATTATATTATTACAATGTATTGCAAACGATGTCGAATTACAAAGATGTTGCTACTGCTGCTGTCACTTGCGATCTGATATGATACTCTTAAGTAATTTAATAACACTACTATAATTATACTTTTTAGGATTAAGTAGCTTTAGTTATACTGTTTAAAAAACTATAGCGAAGTATAAGTGTCATAAGTCATTGCTGCATTATCAGAGATTTTTAATAGAATTTCATATGCATTTTTAATAAGCATAATTGTTTCATTTCATAAATTATCCTACAATAAGCTAGAGACTATTGATTAACACATATTCTTATAAAGATGCTTGTTATAATTTTAATTAATTACTCATATTTTGACAAAAATATCATATATGTGTTTACAAAATAGTTCCCCTATTATATGCTAGTTACATGAAACTAGTAATATGTTACATATATTAACCTGTGCTTAAAAATTAATTTAGTAAACTAATACGGCTCTGTTTAAATTTATTATATTTCCATTTAAAATAAAAATTTTAAGATGATCGAAGTATAACAAAAAAGCAATCAATCCATGTATTGTTTGCACGTGACAAGTGACACTTTAATTTAAGAGGTTAATTAAACTACCACCATCACCACCACTACTGTACTAACTTTACAAATGTTACCATTACTTCTGTTATAAAGAACTATTACTCACTAATACTTTATAAAAAAAAAATTTACTATGAAATGGCTTACTGATCTTACATATTATATCGTTTACTTAAAAACTGTTGCAACTTCAAATACCGCTAAGTAAGAAAAATTGTAATGCTATTTACTAGTGAATACAAATTTACGACTACTATATATAATTTCATAAAATAATTTACGGGAAACAGTGTACATATGTAATTTTAAGAAAAATGTAACATTTATGAATGAAGTAGGAAATAAGTTTTCGTTTGATATACAAAAAAATTCATTAACGCCTTTATTCAGCGAAATATAAACAAAAAGCTCCGTAAAAGATTTAGAAAAAAAATATATATATACAAGCATACATTTATAATGTGGTTGAGAAAATTTAGCAGATTGCGTAAATGTTAAAAATAATTAACATAAATGCGTATGATTCATAAATAATAGTTGCGAGAACAAGAAGCTAAAATATGCCAAGTAGTTGAAATAATCTCGAAAATGAATGAATACAGTATGTGGTATTTTTTATTTGTTGAAAACAAAAGAAAAACTGTCTTCGTTGTACCAAGCCGATAATTCGATGTAGAATTTCTTAAAATCACGTCTAAAAACAGGGTGGTCCGGGATCGCGTTAATAATAATAATGATAATGATAATATAATTTGTTCTTCCATTTGTATTGAATATTTATATTTTCGCTTGATATTAATTATCGTTAAAGACTCGTAGTGAATTATATATCAAAATGGTAAAGATAGGACGCTTACGAAACAAAATCGTGCCTTTAATTTTCTAATTTTTACTAATGTGTTTTTTCAATGTCAAATATAAAAGTAGCTTACAGTGTTTTTATACACGTACAAATATACTTTCATGAAAATTGGAATTTGCCATGTTTAAAATATTTTTGAACTATATTACGTAAACTTTTTCGATAAGATGAATTAATTCATTTGATGCAATGTAATAAAAACGTGAAAATGATCAAAATATATAATTTAAATGCGTAACTAAAGTCTGAAATTAATAAGAATAGAAAGCAGTTTATTAATGTGGATAATAATTAAGATTTTCGCTGCATAACACACTTATTTTACATCTTTATTTTACATTAAAATTAAGTCACAAATTGTATGAATTATGAGAAAAATGATTATATATAATTAATTTTGAATGATTTAGTTCTGTTATAAAAATTACAATTTGCAAAAAAATTTAGAATCAAATACTTCTCTCGTATACTTTATTATTATTATTATATCTAATTCAATCAAATAGCAAAACATTAAAAAAATATATTAACACAAAAATTCATACATCTTAATTCACTAAATAATAAAATACTATGTTCCTTACATTTTGCTGAAGTATGTTTTACAGTTTGCATTTTCATTGCATAATAACGAATAACTCTAATAAGTTAAATTAAAACAATAAAA